GTCCAGACCAGCGCTGACAGGGTCCTGATGAGAGTGCGTAAGCATGAGCATATCACCCCTGTACTCCGTTCACTTCACTGGCTTCCTGTTTCTGCCCGGATCACTTACAAAATTTATCTGCTCACCTTCCAATGCTTGTACGATAATGCTCCATCCTATTTAAAAGAACTTCTCACCCCTCATTGTCCTTCACGCACTCTCCGCTCTTCCAACACCATCTTCTTCTCACTCCCAGGTCTCGGTCCTGCACAACAGGAGACCGGGCTTTCTCCTGCGCTGCCCCTCGGCTGTGGAACGCCCTGCCTTCATCTCTGAGGGCTCCACAGACCTTGACATGTTTTAAAAAGGGTCTTAAAACCTTTCTTTTTACCCAGTTTTTTTATTGATTGCACTGTACTTTTGTTTGTTTTAAATTCACCCATAGTCCTTATTTGAATATTTTATCTGCATTTTATACATTTTAGGTTTTCGATGTGTTCATTCTGAGGCGTTATCCTCCTGGTTGTTTTTCCTCTCGGTTGCTTTTATGGTTGCTTTTATCCTGATGTTATCTGATGTTCACTCTTTGTAGCACTTTGAAATTCACTGTGAATGTAAAGTGCATTATAAATAAAAGTTATTATTATTATTATTATAATAATTATTTGTGGCTGCACTTGAGCTTCGGTTGGAGTCTCACCCAAAGGTCCGTTAACTATCCAACCAAGCATAGTTTTAACAGTGTATGGTCCATCTGCAACACTTCTAATGACATCCAGTGTTTCCAAAGCCTTTGGTACATTTGAACCAATAAACAAATTGATCTCCGCATCAATTGCAGGTAGATGCACAGACTTCAAATATGGCCATTGAATTATGTCATTCTGGTGGGGAATGTTTCCTTTATGCATGGACATAATATTCTGGGTGTAAAGAATGGGAAGATTACAAAATTCATTGCCATCTAGACTGGCAACTTCTAAATTGTAAATAATATCAGTTTCAATAACTCTTTTTTTGTCTCATAGTTCTCAATAAAATATTGTCTCTCCTTCCTTGAATGTTCAGTGTATTTATCAGCCTCACCTTGGTCAAGAAAAGCATAGGTATACAAGGTTGCATTTCCTTTCTTGGCTTTAACTTTCACAGGCACTATTGATAATTTGGATTCATCTGTACCAGCCCCAGTAAGAGCACTTGTCTGACTAGTGGCCACGGCACCATCATATGCCCGTTCCTTTGATTCTTCTTGTTCTTTGTTCATATTCTTTCTTTGAAAAATGTGTAACATTTGGGGATGTTTTAAACTACATGTTTTGCAGCGGAGGCATTTTCTGCAGTCTTTACTAATGTGTCCTTTACAAAGACATCCAAAACAGACGCCAGTTTCTTTTAGAAAAACAATTTTGTCTTTATGTGTCTTTCTTTCCAACTCTTGACACTTTTCTAAGGCGTGTTCACCTCTGCAAAACAAACAGCTCCTCACTTCTGTGGCATTTTCCTTTTCCTTAACTTTGTCATTTCCACTTTCAGCTGCAGGCACAGAAGTAGCAAAAGAACTTTCTTTAAACCTTTAGTGAACTTGTGACTTAAGATTTCTTGTGTCTTTGTTTGCTGTGCAGATTTCTTTGACATCCCCAAATACTGGGTCAGATGCAATTTTCACTTGTTTTTCCAGAAAATTTACCATCTCCTTAAACGTAATTGATTATATTTCTCATGAAAATCAAAGACTGTTGTTCTCCACTCCTCTCTCAGGCCATAAAGTAACTTTTGTGTGATGACAAGCATATTGGTAGGCATTTCAAGCTCCTGCATGTAGCTGAGATCTTCCATAGCATTACAACAACCTCTGAGAAATACTGTGTATGTTTGAAGATCTTTTGTGTCCTCTGCCTTTATTGAAGACCAAGACAGAGCCTTGTTCATGTATGCTGTTCCAAGTTTATGTTCAGTGCCAAAATGCTGCTGTAATAATGATTTTGCCTCTTTAAATCCTCTCTCTGACGACATGTGTAGGCAACTCCTCACAAGTTCTCTTGGTTGGCCTCTTGTATGTTGTTCCAAATAGCAGTGATGGAGAAAGTACTCAAACACCGCATTTAAGTAAAAATACAAATAAACAGACAAAAATGTACTCTAGTCAAAGTAGAAGTACCACATTCACGTTTTTACTTAATTAAAATTAAATAAGTACGGTACTTGCTTTTAAAAATACTTAAAGTATTAAAAGTAAAAGTACTTGCTGAATGTATTACCTAATGCAATGGTCTACAATATCATTTAGTGTGCCTATTTTCTGTAATACATTAATAGTGTTGTGCCTTTTAATGAACAATGCTGCAGACAGTGCATGTTTTTATAGTGTGACACAGTTCACACTTGGACTTGTACTTCTGTGTGCCAGAATTTCAGGGATGACCTGCAGAGTTAAACGCCATTAATCAAAATAAGAAAGAGGAATGATTATACCTTTGAAAGTTTTTATTTAAACACAAACCAATGTGTCATTTTAACTGCAGTAAAAACATTTAAGTAAAAGTTGTCTGCCTGAAAAAAGGAGCATTAGACACAACTAACAAAGAAGCAGGCTCTGATCATTTCAACTCCAGTTTGTCATCAACTCCAGTTAAAACACTGTCTAGTCAACCTTGTCAATATGAACAATATTTTAACTCCTGACACCATTTTCAGAACTTTAGTTTAACCTTCACAAAGCTACCGGCCCAAACAACATCCCCCGGGAAGGTGCTGAAACTGTGCTGATCAGCTCTGCGAGGTGCTGGCCGACATCTTTAACTCCTCACTCACCCTGGAGACAGTTCCCACCTGACTGGTCTGAATGACTACCGGCCAGTGGCCCTCACCCCGATAGTCGCTAAATGCTTAAAAAAACTGGTCATGACTCACATCAAAACAACCATCAACATCAACAAGGACCCTCACCAGTATGCATACCACGAGAACTGATCAACAGAAGACACCATCTCCTCTGTGGTCCACACTGCTCTCACCCACCAGGAGCAGAAGGACTCCTACGTCCGTATGCTCTTTGTGGACTTCACATCCACCTTCAACACCATGATCCCCCAAACCCTGATGAACAACTAGGACTAAGTCCCTCCATTTGCAACTGGGTACTAGATTTAACAAACAGACCACAGTTAGTGAGGATCCACAACTTCTCCTCCACCATAACCCTCAGCATTGGCTCCCCTCAGGGATGTGTGTTGAGCCCACTCCTGTTCACTCTGCTCACGTATGATTGTGCAGCTACCCATCCAGGCTGTCACATTGTAAAGTTTGCAGATGATACAGCGGTGGTGGGATGCATCACAAACAATGATGAGTCCAGCTACAGGCAAGAGGTGGAACACCTGGAGAGCTGGTGCAGAGAGAATAACCTTCACATCAATGTGAAGAAGACAAAGGAGATGATTG